CCCCTCCCCGCAGCACCCTGGGACCAGCCGTGTGCTCCAGCTCCCGTCCAGCACCACAGCGCCCGCTGGAGTATCTGCGTTTGCCTGTTCAAGAACACCAGTGAGACTGTCGTCATTTCAGTTTTTATTAGTTTGTACATCATATACAGTTTATAATAAAGTAAACCAATTGCATATGGTTTTGCTTCAGTCTGTGATATTCTTCATATAAACACATCATTATGAATTATGCCTAACGAAGTAAACAACAAATATTCACATTTTTACCATTCACATCCTAGAAAGGTAAGGGTCCAGAGAGGGACAGTGCTCGTCCCGATGTGAAGCCCGTCTTGGAGAGGATGGTGTGTTTGGCAAAGCGACGGGGACAGGGATTGCTCCATGCAAGGCTCCTTCCCTCTGGGGGGAAAGGGGCAGATATTTACACTGAGGTAAACGTTCCCAATTTCCATTCAGATAAATACTGCAGCACAGCGCCCAGCAGCCGCTCCAAGCTGGCTTCACGTCGGCGCCTGGTTCTGTCCTGACTGCTCCTTACACCCTTACACCAAAGCAGACACGCAGCAGGGACGGTGCTGGCTGCCGCTTCGCCCTCCATCCCTCCAGCATCGCTTCATGCGATTTTTCTCTTTCAAAGCATCAACGACGAGGTGAAAGCAGGGAGGAAGAGGGGGGACACGGACACAGGACTGGCTGTGCCAGCGCTGCGGCCGAGCTGCTCTCCCACCAGACCACTGCCTTCCTGAGCCCCCCACCCGCGCCAAAGCTCCACCTCGGTCACACCGTGCTGCAGACGATGCCTCAGCGCCCTGCTCACAACACCCTGTACCAGAGCTTCCCTTCCGAGGCCGGACCTGCACTAGGGTGAAACCTTGCCCAGCACCGCTCCAAGAGGGGATGATCCTGTCCCTGGCCCCGCAGGAGCGAGGGAAGCTGGGGTACTCCGAGGAAGGGCAAAGCATCATGCATCCTCTTCCAAAGCCAAGCTCAGGTCCTGCCCCGGGAGCGGGGAGAGCAGGGACACCTCAGCACAGCACTGGAGGAGCGGAGGGTCACAGAACCGCTGCGATCCCACCACCACCCTTCAGCCTTCGCTGTGGCACTGCTGCAACGGCCCGAGATGGACCTCGGCGCCGCTCGGGCAGGGACACACAGGAGCTGTCCTGCTTCCCTAAGGAAGGGGAGGAGGGTACAAGGCACAAATCTAAAGGGGATGAAAGCTACCCACTCGAGGGTCAGTGGATATCTTTAGTTATTACTGAAACTGAGGAAGTCATTTTGAAAGAAGAGCAAGCCACAGCGTGGTCCAAACGCTTTGGTCATTCAATGGGTTGACAAGCGACTCGGCCAAGCGCAGCCCGCAGCGTGCATCCAGCCCGGGGACCGGCGCTGGCGGGCGGGCGCAGGAGCTGAGACCATTTCCAGATCGGAAATGAAACAACAGCACAGCAGCTTCCACCCCGTATCCCGTCAGATACAGAGAGCTGAGGGACTCGCACTGTTCCACAGATAATAATACTCTTGTCCCTAAACATTTTATTTTTCTTCCTCTTTTTTCTCCAATTTGCGTTACCGTATTTACAGGAGCCTTTAGCACTAGGGGTCCAGCTTTACAGCAACACTCCCAGGTCCACAAACGAAACCGTGACCTTTCCTACGCAGCACGTGCAGCAGAAGCAAAGAGCCTGCCAAGGGGGCAGCCAGAGGCATCTCAAGGGTCTTTACAGCTGATTCCATGTCCGGGTTCAGAGTCTCTGGAAGGGACTCTCTGGGTCCCTCACACAAGGTGCGGCTGACCCAGCACCGGATTTGTAAAGTGAATCCACACAAAGAAAAACCACAGCAGGCTTCATGGTCAGGAGGTCAGGCCGATGTCCATGCAAGTATCTCCCGCACACCAACATCACCGATGCGTGTTTTCATTTCTAAGCCAGGAAATCACTCCCGTTTTCGTTTGAATGCAGCCGCATTTCACTATTGGAAACTATCCTTACAGCAGCTCAGACACCACGAGTATCACGATCAGGCAGAAAAACAGGGGAAGCGCAAGCGTCAAACAATTCCTGAATGCTCCAGAGTCACGACAGCAGCCTCACCTCACACGCTCCGTCTGCCAAGAACCACTCTTCTCATCACAAGGGCTTTGCCATCGGCTTTTCCCACGTGCCACGTTCACGTGGTGGCCCGCAGCCCCACAAAGGGAACAGGACGCTTCTGAGGCTGGACGCAGCTGCATCCCCTGTGGTTCACGGGCATCACCTACAGCAACTGCCTCCCGTCGCCTTCACTAATCAGCGCTTTATCAGTCTAGACAAGCACAGGAGTAATTACTCCTTTGACACACACTATCGCTGGGGCAAATTCCTCCGTCTGGTGGCTCCTGGGGAGCCGAAGGAAGCCAGGGAGGTCTGCAGAGCTGGGGCAGCTAAAAACCAGTGCCACAGCTCCCTGTGTCTATGTACAAAATTCAGCCCGTGAACAACATTCCCTACCTACCACCTGTGAAAGGCAAGGTTTCCAGTGATGCACATCTAAGCGGATTTTTCTGAAAGAAACAAGAGTCCCACGTCTCCAGGCTGTGCCAGGACACAGTGGAGGTTCCAAAGCCACCGCACTCCATCCCCAGGCACTGCCACCGCTGCTGCCCTGGGGTAACAGGAGCCACCGAACGCACCCAAACCCCTGCGCTGCGTGAAAAAGGGAGCGTGTGGTCGCCTTCACCTTGAATCACATCACAGCTCTCCTTAGAAAAGCCTTGGCACTCACCATAGGGATATTTAACTACATTAAATCGTGCATTCAGGTACATTTTATAAACATCTGCTGCACACATCTCCCCTCAGAAGCAAAGCCATTCCACTCCCGTCCTCCCAGGAAGGGTCCCGCTCAGAGTTAGGAGAGAAGGAAGTCTGCCGTACTCAGCTGAGAGGAGGGGAAATACTAACGAAAGCCACTGACAAAAGCAGGACGCATCTCTGCGTGGTGACAAAAGACTGAGAACTCCAAGCTGTACAGTACTATCGGAACACGCAGGACAAGACGCTGGATGCAGAACACTACACTGAAACAAGCCCTGTAAACTGATTTACAAGTGCCAGGAGAACTGGAGGAGTATCAATATGCATAGACCAGTACTCCAGTTCCCCAGACAACCACCGCTTCAGAGTCTGAAAGATCCTGGGACCTTATTCTGCTCTCAGTGCAATCCAGAGAAGTCCATCATGTTACACTGGTGCGAAGGAAGGTAGAATCAATGTTGCAGAGTCTGTTTTTAGAAATATTGGCTCATTTTAAAAGCTGACCTTTGAGCGAGTTACAAAATACTTTCTTTATTCTGCAGTACTAGAATTTAAGCCCTTAAATCTTCCCTCTATGAGAGCAGATTGTCAGAAATCCTGACCAAGCCCAACGGCAGGACGGCAGCGCTCGGCAGCGGCACCGTGACACTATTGCAGGGAGGTCCCTTGCGCTGCAGCCTGGCAGCTCTGTCCCAACCAACAGGACAGGCGCAGCCCTCGACAGGAAGGAAGACAAAGATGTTAGCGTTCAAAGTAATCATTTCATGCAATGAATTCATTGCAGTTGTTCCTGCAGTAAGAAGTTAAATCGGCTCTTATAGAAAGCCAGGGTCAGGCTTCCATCGGGAGGAGCCTTGCGGGTATCGGGACAAACGTCCCTTTGCTCAGTCAAGCACAAGCAGCCCTCCAACAGTCACTGCACCAGCGCAGGGCAGTTCCGAACACCCCGGACACAGCACTGTGGCCGAGACTCTGCCCATCCCACCAGCGCTGCCAGCGCATCCTCTCTCAAACCCACTTTGGAGCAAGACCACGCGAAGCTCTGCCAGACCTTGCCCCGCCGCGCTCCAGCACCGCCTGACGGACGGGATTCAACAGGAACAAAGCACCTCATTGGAACGATTGCTCACTCCATAGAGAAGCGGGAGGAATGCTGGAAACAAGAGTCCTCCCTCAGCTGAGCTCTTGCTCTAACACTGCGCTGACGGTGAAAGGCAGAACAGCCCTCACGTGCTGGCAGCACCCCCAGACCAGACCAAAGACTCTCCAGCTGAGCTGGCGCAGCCTCCCGGGTCAAGCTCGTCCCTCCAGCCCTTGTCCTGACATTGTGCAAGAGAAGCAAGCAACAGACTGTCAGTTCAGAGTTTGACTTTGCATTTTCTTGCTTCTTTGGACTAGTAAATTACTTCTAGTTGAGAACTACTTGACTAGTTTAACATTTGTACAGTTCCTGTAAACATTTGAGAGCACGCTGCTGCACGCAGTCACCGTTTTCAGTTATTAACCTGAATATTACTTTGCATTTCTCTAGAGCTGGAAAGAGCTCATCCATGTTATGGATCAGTAACACAAACACCAAGCTCAACAAAACCAAGTTTTAGCACAAATATTAAATGTTCAAGTGGATTAATTAAAAAAATGTACAGTGAAGAAATTCAGCCCAGAGCAAATTCAATATTCCCTTGAACAAGACAATTCTTGGAGTGGAAACAACACCCTTAATTCCAGCTGCATCACAGGGAATTCTCACACAAGCTGCTCTTTTCAATCCAAGGAAGCATTTCTCTGATACAAAATTGTTAAACTCACATGTTATCATTTAAGTTAATGCCCAAGTGCACCATTCTTGTAGAACCATAGCAAAAAAAAAAAAAAAAGAGAAAAAGAAAAAAGACAGTTAGCAGGTACAAGGCGATTGTATGAAACTTGATTGAATCTTGGCGATATTTTCAGATTACGATAACTTACAAGTTACTACAGACCCCGAACATGCTGCCACACTGCACTGTAGAGCCAACCAAAACAGAACAGGAGATCACTTCACCCTCTTACAAGTCAAGATTCCAGGAGGACTTCAGGGAAATCCTCTCTGCTGAGGAGCAGGAACAGTCTGAAAGTACGGGCCAGCATGGAGGGACCAAACGATTCAAAGCTTTATTTTTTTTTTTTTTAATAAAGTTAACAGTAAAACAAAATTCACAAGCCTTCCCCTCCCGAGCTGGTTTCCTCTTCACACACAAAAGCACACAAACAGAGGTCTCCAACCGAGGAAAATGAAACTGCTCTAGGTACATGAGACATGATGAAGGAAGGAGTCTAAGTACGTCCATGTTCAAGGTTAAAATAAGCAGATCAGGTATGCGTGGGGTTGGTTTTGTTAGCCAAACTGGAAAAAGAAATTTCCAGGCCCAGAAGCTGAAAGAGAAAATGAAAGATATTAGCACTTCCAAAACTCCAAGACCATACAGTTAACTACTCTGCTGCAATAGGCTGATGCCAGGCCAGGTCTTAATTCAAACTAAACCAGCTGAGCAGCAGGAGAGATGAGATCTTCGCTGTGCATTCCCAACAAGAGTGGACTGCTGATAAGATGGGCAAGGGAGGCAGATGTACAAGAAGAAAGGTGAACCAGTACGCGAAGCATGCAAGATTTCTCAAAATTCACTCAACACAAGCCCTTAGGAACACACGCTTCCCAAAGGGTCAGGCTGGTCCCAGCTCAGCCCCAAGAGCTCGCTCAGCGCTGAGTAAAGCCATCCCACTCCAGGGTGTGTGGAGAAAGCCTGACCACGGGAGGCTGGAAGGGACACGAACAGCCCCATCGCCTCCAGTCACCTCCACACGTCTGCAGGCAGAGGCCCCCGGGAGGATTCACCGTCTTACGGAGCCGGAGGAGAGCTGTGCGACACGGACACACGGGACTCCGGACCAACAAGCGCCTTTTGTGGCTTTGGCTCCAGCCGCTGTTCCAAGTCACAGTCAACTATTTCTAAGCAGCAAAACACCACCTGAATGGCAAAGCCTACACATGCTTCTCGAAAAGGGAACTCCTGGGTTTTGTTGCTTTCGAACACAAAAGAACCAGAACCAGGCACCAGCTGGGATGCTGTGCACAAAGAGCTCCCCGCAAGCTCTTAGATGCTTTTATGTGGAAAAGTAAAATACTCTTCTCAAACAGCACATCTGTTCCGGGAAACTCGGCTGTCCTGTCAAGTGATGTGTGTACTTACGTTTCCAAAGCTGGGAGGAGAACACTTCTACCTACCTTCAAAGCTGAAGCCACCTGGCCCACCAAAGAAGGCCTTGAAGATGTTATTTGCATCAAAGTCTACAGGGAAGAAAAGGAAGTTGTGAGCTGAAGTGAAACAGCCAGTTACAGTCTTCACAGTTTTGAACCTGTCACTTACTTGAGGGCCCATAAAGCATTTTTCAGATGGACAAAAAGCTCTAAAACAACCAGCTTGCTGTGTCTGAGCACAGCTGCAAGCACAGAGTGCAGGGCCACCGACGGCAGCAGAGAACAAGTCAAAGCAAGAGTTGTCAGAGAGAATTTCCATCAGAGGGGCCACTCAAGAATTTTGGATAAGCAGCGTTTAGGGACCCACAATCCTTCTATGACATGATTTTACACCTCCTATGAAAGACTTCTGCTCAATGGCAGCTACTACCTGCCAGCTCAGTCAAGGACAACATCCCCTGCATAAGCTAGACTGCTGGCAACTGGAAACCTTCAGTGCAGATCTGCTGCTCAAGTGCTTTCAGAGACCAGATCGAGTCAATTCATGGGTGTATTACAAATGGGAAGGCTGGCTTTAGGGGAGCAGACTCTAAACGGTCTGATCTTTTTAAAGGCTGCCATGGTAGAGTATCTTAAGGAACACTTACCTCCCATGTTCAATCCATCTTCATCTAGATCCTGCCCACTGTCATAGCGGGCCTTCTTCTTGGGATCTGACAGGATGGTAAAGGCTTCACCAACCTCCTTAAATTTCTTCTCCTCTTCCTTCTGTACTTCCGCACTTGCCCCACTGTGTCGGTCTGGGGATACAAAAACAGGCAGGAAAGAAGCTTTCAGTTTTCAGTGTAAATGGAAAAAACGCTACACAAAAGGTTCAAAGCAACGCTACACAAAAGGTTCAAAGCAACGCCACAGGCACTAGTAACGGGCTGTTTGTGGTACCTGGATGATGCATTAGTGCTCTTTTCCTGTAAGCCTTCTTGATCTCATCTTCAGAGGCATTTTTGTCAACCCCAAGGATTTTGTAGTAGTCTTTCCGTTTGCTCTTTTTCAGTTCCACTTGTGCATTCTTTAGAAGCTGCTTGTGTTCTAGAAAGAAGTGCAACGCCAAAGGAAAATGGCTTTAGCATCAGGCACAGCCTCCGGCTTTATGAGCGGCTGACTACCACCACGGTGAGATGAACCAGGTTGAAGGACTCAAGCACCACAAGTAACCAACCCACTCCAATTTCCAGTCAGGTAGCTAGTTAAAGCCTAGCTGCCCACTTAAGGCTGTTTCCAAATGCAGGTAAACCTCTCAGTGCTATTAAACCAGTATAAGAAACCGAACCCCAAGGACTAAGGTTACTCTGGCCACTTCACTCCAGGCTACTAGAAAAGCAAGACAACAGTTAAGAACGAGAACCATAACCAGATATTCTGGATCTGGTGCACTGCTTCAGCTACAAGCTAAATTATCTTCTCAGCATTCAACGCTGGGAGAGAAACCAGATTCTGAGACAGGCATTTCAGAGTGCTCCTGAGGACTCTTCCAGTACTGTCCTGCTGGGGTGAAAGATTGCAAATGGGAGCATATTGTGGGGAAAAGGCAAACAAAAGCAACAACAACAAAAATTGCAGTTGAGGGAAGCGTATGCAAACAAAAAGAATGCCAATATGCTAACCTTTTGTTTTTTCTGTCTGATAAACCTTTTCATAGTCTCTTACAGCATCTTCATATTGTTCTGTGTCCATGTAACTGCAGAAAGAAACAATGGTGGCCAAGGTGTACTTCACAGGCAATACCAACAGGAGGTTCAGGTACAAGCTTTCTAGATGGATACGAGTTAAGGAAGAGATGTACACTGGACTGCAGGAAGAACCCCAAAGGGTCCCTGCTAAACTGACTGGAAGCCCAGACACGTGATCTGGGGGAAATCCTGGCACTGGAACTGGTACTTTGGGCTCCCAGTGGAGACTGCAATCTCATTTGCAGCACAAGTTCTACCTCAATAAACTGATAATTACTTTATCCAGCTGCAGGAACTAATACCAGCCAGCAAGATTTCAAGGAAGCTGATGCAGAGTTGTACATTAGCAACACTGGTTAGAAGTGACAGTCTTGGCACCTCAGAGACGTGTCCGTCTATTGGCATTTCAGCCTCACTCACATTAACTACCGAGTGTAATTTAGCAATCACTGAGATGGAGCTTAAGAACACCAAAGGCTGTAAATTAAAATGAATGCACAGCAGGAAGGCTGTGATAATGGCTTTGGTTCATCTATAAGCCAGGCAACTCTGCCATGAACTGGGGAATAATCAGTATTGAGGAAAGCAGCAAATAAATCTGTAGCCCGAACAGAGCTTTGACTGCTCCCCTGGCTGGTGCCAAGTTGCAAAGGAAACACACAGACTGGAACATCCTGTGTACATCTCCCTCAGCCTCACTGCGCTACGCTGCGGTATTATCTGGGGCTGAGACGCACACAGTCTCGGCTGATTTCTCCTTTATGGGAAGCAGGGCATCCCATTTCCAAATCCAGTTTGCTGGAAGCATGAGCAGCTCTGCCAGGGTAAGATCTCTTACCTGCAGCAGTCCTTCTGAAAAAGCTGAAGAGGGGCTCTCTGGGACAGAACATCTTACATTAGTCTATAACCATAAGCAGCCAAGCTTTAGAACAAATTCTGCCCAAACCCTGCCAACCCTGGGCAGTCCCAGATCCATGCAGGCAGGACAGACCCCACAGAGCTTCCCCTGTCTCTTTGATGGCATAAGGAGGAGGGCCCTTAGGACAGAACATTTTATCCAGTTAAGCTTCAGATTTGCTATCCCTGTCACTCGGTGCTTTCGGGAGGAGGCTCCTACCCACAAACCCGCTCAGTATGTCCATCAGAAAGGTCTACTCACCACTGTGCTCTCCTCAAGTATGCCTTGATATAGGTGTCATCCAGTTTCACTGCATTCGTGCAGTCATCTATTGCTTCTTCAAGTTTCCTAAGCTACAACGTCAGACAAAAGCTAAGTGAATCCCAATCAGAGAAGAAATTCTGCTAAGTAGCATTATGATTTTAGGCAACTGAAAGCTGTGAAAAATCTTGGAAAATCTCACTGGTTTGTGTGTCTGCATCTAGGAAATTAGCACTATCGCGACTGACTGTTTCCCTGGCTAGTGCACAACCAAGATACAACAGCAAACCTGGAAAAACTGTCCAGGGTTTTTAAATTAGGTATTTCTTTTTAATCAAAGAGCAAAGACAGAGGATCTCCAAGAAGAAGAAGCAAAAAAAGCTATCTCCTCATTACCAGGAAGGAAACAAATAAGGATGCCTTTACGCTGATTAAGATATGGCCAAACTACATTCCTCCTCTCCCTCCCACTCTGCGCAGCCCAAGTATTTGAGTTTTGTTTCTTCAGGAGTCAACTTCGTTGGCTGCTCGGAACAGACCCAGCCATTGTGCAAGTACAAAAACCTGAAACACTGCCTACAGCACTAGAGATCCAGCTGCCCAGCAGCCAGAGAAGCCTGTGCTTTCCAGCGTGACTTGCAATTTAGAAACTATGTGCTGAGGAATATGATGAAAGACTACCTGCCAGGTGACCATTTCTTACCTTTGAATTAACCGTCCCCCGGTTGCAGTAGAGTTTGGCATTTGTTTTTATGTTATTTGGATCTATTCCTAGTGCCTCTGTGTATAGTTCATATGCTAGTTTGTAGTTTCCTTCCTTGAATGCTTTATTCCCATCTTCTTTCTTTGCTTTAAGTGCTTTGGCATTCTGAAAGAAAATGTACACTGGGTAAGGACACCAGGTAAGTGATTTGGGGGTACCAAGCACCTTATTTTGCTGGGTGAGGGTCCTCAAACATAACTGTTGGGATTGGGTTTCAGTATGCAAAAGTCACAGCCTTGCTACAGCAGCTGAAACGAGCTGTGAGCATTTTGCCTTTCCCCCAGAAGTGGTAAGGAACAGCCAGTGCCAGTCACAGGCATTCCCCACAGCAACAACAGCTGCCTAATGTTTCAGATAAGAAAAATGACAGTGAAGTAAATTTATGGATTAAAAAGAAATAGGAATGGAACCTCACTTTTTAAGAGCTCATCCAAGTAAACAGATTTTAAAAGTCAGTTAAAGAACTACAACAGTAGAAACCAGGGAAGGAGCAACATGAAAGAAACAGTGTTTACAGGGAAGTCAACCTGCAGGCACTAACACTGAATCTCAAAGTCAGAGGTTCTTTTAGAACTGACAGACCTAGTTTTATTGCTCCTATACCTGACCAAGGAACAAAGAACAACAAAAGGGAGGCAGTCTTCAAATTACCAGTGTCTTCTGAGAAAGAGCTTCTAGCAACTCGGTTTTACCTAAAGAAGCAGTGGGTTGTCTTTGGGAAGGGCTGGACACACCATGCTACTGGAGATCCGGGGAATGGTAATGTTGAGGGATGGAGAAGTGATCGATCCAGCAAAACCAAGTGTTTGGTTAAAAAAACAGAAGTCCTGGTAATTTTGCAGTCCCATCCCCAGTATCCACAACTTACACGGCAGGCAAGACATGCTTTCTCATGATCAGGAGCCATTCTGAGTGCCTGGACAAAGAACTGCACTGCTTTCTCAATACAGTCCTCGTAATAAAGGCAGAGACCTCGGACATACAGAGCGTCTGCATTTGTAGAGTCCATTCGTAAGATGTCACTGTAACAGACACATTGCAATAATGAAACATTTCCCTATTCCAGTTTCCTTCTGATCTCCAAAAGCATTCTTCCTCCACTTGAGATATTTAGTTATTTTATCAAGTCCATGGTACAGATGCACAAAAAGTAGGGGAACGTGCTCAAGCAAGGCTGCTGGTTATTAACCGAGTCTAAATACCGTTTCCCAGTAAGATTAACTTTAAAGGGGATAAATTAATGCACTCTTCCTCATCACAATTCACCTCAAGGACTATTTCTTTTTTATATTCCCTCATCCATTTTGCGCTGTGAAAAACAAGCAGCAGCCAGGATTCACCACCAGCTGTTACTCCAACTCCAGACTTTAAGCTGCTCACCTTGCTACAGACTGTGCTTCTGGGTAGCGCCCCAACAACGCTAAACATTCAGCCTTGAGGATCTTGAACCGGTGACAAGCAGGAGCAAACTCCAAAGCACGATCCATGCAAAATACAACCTGGTGTGAGAAAAAACACAAATGTGAGCCAAGCAAATAGCCAAAGGCATCGTTTGAAAGGCTGCACCATTACCACACCTGAGATTTCACATTTGTCTTTGCACAGGAAGATAACGTGCAGACACCTGTTGCCTCTGCTGCTGGAGACACATTTCATTAGAAAATTTTCCTCATGGGCAGGTTTTTTGTTTTGTCTTTTAGAGGGCTTTGTGTACAAGGTCTGTGCCTCCTGCTACGTTACTATGACACAGCACTACACAGGAGATTCGGGGGACACCTGCAGAAGGTCCATCCCTTTAGCTCTCCTGAAACTGCAGGCCCTAAGGAAAAAGCCAAGGAAGACAATTCCGCCCCTGTGTCCTGCAGTATAAAGACATGTGGGAAGGACAGAAATTCAATAGAGCGAGACAGTTTGGACTGGACAAAACACAAAAAAGTACAGTGCAGGGCCTGCTCTTACACTGCTCTGACTGCAACGGGCAGGGTGAGCTAATGGGTCCTTCCCAGCTCTGCAGCTCTGGTGGGGACATCTGCACGAGAACAGGGTCATTGTTTCACCGCGGTTCATCTGCCTCCCTGGCCGTGACCTCACGAGTGCTCGCTGTGGGAAGCACTGTGCTCCAGACTGAGAAGCCACTGGCTTCGGGGCGAGGAAGGAGCCAGGGCAGCTCTCCAGAAACAAAGATCACATTTCACGCAAGCCTCCCCAGTGAAGTGAGGTGGAAGAAGTGAAGGGACAGATGCAAAAGCCCAGAACATGCAACACAGGCAGGGCAACTCCTACACACAAAATCCAGGTTGACCAGACATCCCATTTGCTCCTCATAACCAGGTGATACAAAGCTGGGATTTACCCTTCCAAAATCTTGAGCTTAGCCTAAGAGTGTGGACAATCTCCCTCCTGGCCAAACTTGGGCCTTACACGCATCCTCTGAACAGAAACGGTTGCATGAGGAGTGTTTGGTGCCTTTCAGATTTCATGCTGTCATTTCTTGTTATACCAGGTCAGTACCAACTGCATCCTGTTACAGCCCTTGGGAAGAAAGATTTGGAAACAGTAACGGAGAATCCCCCACGCAGATCTGCATTCCTCCTCCAGTGACCCTCGCTATAATGCTGGCAGGCAGACTGCCTTTTTTTTTGTAAATTAAAGAGTTGAGAAAGACGAATCCTGGATATGCATTTTAGGAGCAAAGCATAATCAAATGCTGCTGCTGACAAAATCTGTATCAAACAGCTCACTCACGGGTCCACTCATCCTGCAAAGCAAACAGTAATAGAGGATATTCAGCCTGAGCCAGTCACCCTCTCCACTTCTCATTCGTTCAGCACTAAGAGAGGATGAGCTCTGCCATTTTCACAACTATTACAGCTCACAAGTCCGCCCTGCCCCAACAGCAAATGCCGCACAGCACCTCCCGTCAGGGCCCAGCCAGTGTTAGGCAGGGAAATCAGACGTGCCAAGTAAAACGTCTGTTCATAATGCTACAGGAAACAATCGAGTTAATCTTACCTTCCTGAAATCCCGTTTCTCAAAATCCACTTCAGCTATTTTTTCATACTCAAGCACAGTACTGGCGTTCTTCAGCTGAAAGACAGGAGAACACAGCAAGCGTTGCAGGACAGTCACGGGTCTGAAACACCATCAAGCAGCATTTAAGCAGCCAGCGCCTCAAGCGTCAGAGGAAAAAGTATTGCAGACCATGGACCACAATGCAGATGACATGAACACTTTTGTTAGCATTAACATCTGTTTGAAATCGAGTGAGCTAACTGGTAACCCAGGAAAATGCACCCCTGTGAGCAAGATACCAAAGTGGCAGCAGCCGTCTACAGGCTGTGTCACCCATTTCTGTGCTCCCTCACCACCGGTCACCATTCCTCCTTTGGAGTGCTGGGTGAAAGACCAGCTTAGCCTCCATGCCTTTCTGCTAAGAAGAGACAACCACACACAAAAGTAACTCTGCAGCCCGGCAGAGTACCGACAACCAGAGACTTGGACAGCATCTCACTGTTCCCCCGCTACCTCATAGCAAACAGTCATTACTAACAACGACTCATTCCACCTGGTAAATCTGAAGTGGAAAGCTTACCAGTGCAATCCCCATTCCTTTTAACAGCCCCATCTGCTGGGAATATTTAAATTTCAAGAAACTCTTACCTCTTGCTGCGCCTGGGTATTCTTATGATCCAGTTCTAGAACTCGTTGAAAGCAGCGGCTGGCAGCCATGGCATTCCCTAGGGAAAGGTGGCACTTCCCTTCCCGCAAATGGCCCTGAGAAGACAGGTAGAAGGGATCTGCAGGAGCTGCAAAGGTGGAGACAAGGCTACCGAGACACGGATAAGAAGCATGAAGTTTTCCACGTACCCGTACAAAGCTATCATCCAATCTGACAGACTGCTGAGCATCTCCAAGAGCTTCTCGGAATCTCCCCAACATCATGAGTGTGGCAGCTCTGTTCCCATAATAACTGGCGTTATCAGGACAGGTATCTGGAGAGGAGGTAAGAGCACTCGCTGTAATGCAAACAGCCACACAACTTGTAGAACACATTAACATGCCATGGCTGGATTAAAACCTCACACTCCCTCCCAATTTATAACATGTCACCTGAGTGGTTTAATGGAACAAAAGGTTGTGGTGCTCACCCTGGCAGCATCACTGACCCTGCCTTAGAGGGAAAGCTGCAGCGGTCTCACGTTAAGAAACTCGCCGGAAGAAAAACGAAGAACTGCCGCAATCACCCACGTTGGCACTGACTGGTGTTATCAGTCTGGTGAAATTTTGCAAGGTAATTACAGCAGGCAAAAAGTTTTCATCCAGCGCGTGCTGTCAGAAACCCTGCTGGGGTATTTTAAACCAATAACCAGCTTTGACTTTTAAACACAGTGTTCAGCAAATATCATCACCAACTCTCTCACCTATGGCTTTTGTGTAATAGTTGTACGCTTCATTGTAATCTTTCTTGGCATAGTATGCGTTTCCTTGTTCCTTGAACGACTCTGCTTCTCTGAAAGGAAGGAGAACACCACATTTTAAGGGGAATTGAGCATCAGAAAAGATTCTGACCACGACCAAGCAATCTCAGCACAACTCTACAGTGGTCCACAATGCTGTAGCTGGTTGCTGTGAGACCTCCTCTGTGCACACTGGCCATAAGGAAACAGCACCCTCGCGTCCCGCTGGCTCTCAGATCCTTTGTCACTTTCCCAGGGCCACGAACAGGGATACTCAGAGATGTTACCTAGCCCAACACTACAGGAACGCAATAGCAGAATAAAGCCACCTTCCAGCATCCTCCCTGCGGTCTCAGATGCTCTTCTTCTTAAGAGTTCAGCAGAACTCAGGCAGGCATACACGTTAAGGAAGGCAGCCTGCTCCTGCAAGGTGCTGCACAGTCTCAGCCATCAAAGTCAAGAACCGGAGTGCTGTCTGGCCTTCAGAAGCGCTCCCGCATACTTAAGAAACCGGGCCAAGAACAATTTCTACACTCAAAAGACAGCTAAATGGAGGAGAAACAAGGGGGCAAGCTTCAAGCAGAAGCTTGGCACTGCCTTGGCAACAGGTCCAGAAATAGTCCTCACACTCTAGAGCAAGCGCTCGCAGAGGCAGTTTAGGATGTTTAAAAAGACACAACATATGGTTGAAAGCAGCATCCCCTAAACTCTTGAAAGCAAAGTCTCCCCTGAAGGAAATTAAACCTCTCTCTCTCCTCTCCCATCTGCCTTCACCATTTCAGATAAGCAGCCTGAGAGGGAACTCAGACCATGATGAAGCTGAATTCAGCTTCACTGAGTTACATGCAGTGATTTAACTCACTTGCTTCCCCTCCCCAACTGTTTAATGTGTAAAAACTACGGGACCAACTCAGAAGCAGCATCACCCCGCTCTAAGACACCACCAGCAAACCAGAGCCATGTTCAGCAAGGCTACCGGAGAAAGAACAAAGGGGATTGTGTTGAAACAAGTTCACATGTCTTTAGCCTCCCTCAGGCTGGCCACTGGCCATTCCCACACAACCGCCTCATGCAGAGGGTTGTTTTCACCGAACCCCCGGGTTTGCCAGCTGGCAGAACAATAGACACAGGGAGCTGCCGCAGGCCTCCGCTGAAGTGCGTGCCCTTCACTTTCATTTTTAACTTTTGCTACCAGCCACACTCCAACAACGGGCCAGATGCACCCCTGCTGTAACTCTGCTGATGTCAAACAGCAGAAAGAGCCCAACCACACTGCTGGATTTATCTGAAATAAGATGAATAAGCAACAGGGTGGCAAAGAAACAGTTCAGCACAGGCACCCCACTGCCTCCAAAGGGTCTTGGCTCCCGGGTTCAGTTCATCCCCGCTGCACCCGCTGCTGTTCCAGCCAATGCTGAGCTCTCCCGCCTGAGATGGGAAACCGCCGCACCTCCTCCAGCCAGCCCTCCCAGTGCCGCGCCCCAGGAAGGTGAAGGTGCTTGCTCAGCAGCTGCCAGACCCTGACCTGCCAGCGCAGCACCCCTCCGTGCGCCTCCTCCCCTGGGGCCACGAGATTTAGGAGCGATTCTGGGCCCCTTGGATGGATCTGTGGCACAAGCGGCAGGACTCACACTTTGCATGGTTAAAAGTGTGTCCAAACACAACCACCGCTTTGGAATACTACAGATCAGACACTCAAAATACAGTGGAAAAAATAATCAGCAATTCTGTGCTTCTGGAACCTTGGGATTAAGTAGTTTAACCAAAACTTTATTCTCTTGGTGTTGTAGTCATAAATGGAAAAGAAAATCACAGATCCTGTTAAAGCGCCCTCCCTCAGAAGCTCTCTGTGGTACAGTCTAAAAAAAGGACGAACAGTATTAACGGCAGAGCTCACCTCCCTGAGCCACTGCTGTAAGCTGCTTGGCACACCAGCCCCCGATTCACACGTCTTTGAGCAATTTTACCCACCACGTCACGAGGAAGCTTCTCCAATGGACCCTGGTGGAGGGCTGGACACCAGAACACCCTGTCTGCCAGCAAACTGCTGGGAAGAGGTGGGCAAATAGGAGAAAGAATACAGATACACGGCAAAACCAATGTTCACAGAGCACCGGTACCCTGAGATGATAGAGAACATGCCAACACAAGAACTATGGTTTTCTGCTCTTCTTTATTGGTCTGGTTTCCTTTTAAGCATTTATTTTAACACAGATTGATATATCAACAAGTCCCAGCACCTCAGATAACACCAACAGAACGAAGGACGCAAGTATTTCTACTGCTCACACGGATTAAAGCTTAATGATAAAAAGGATTGTGAAAGAAAAAGCAAATTGCCTCCAAAGCAGGAAGGCAACGACAGTCGCTGGAGCCACAAGGCCGTGGTCTGCGATCCTAGACACAGAACAGAAGCATCTCTCCCCAGTTGCGCTGCACTGACATAGAAAGCACACAGAGAAAACAGTTCTTGTTTACCATGGGCTCCGGCTGTAACAAGAAAAACTGCAGATCTCCTGGTATCACTGGTAATTGTTTCAATCCAAACAGATGCTGCAGCCTGAATGAGATCATTCTGCATCTCGCGCTGATGTAGGCTGCACTCCCCACTTGCTACTTTTGAAACTGAAGAAGAATCGTGCTCTGCTAAAAATACGATCCAAGCTGAATGGATGCTTTTGTGAGGGGAGGACAGTGTCCTCTCAGGGCCTCTCCACGCTGGACGCAGAAGACGGGGAAGAGTCGCACCAAGGATCTCGGGAAGAAGCTTGTCTCTCACTTCTGCGTGCACCGCGGGCTCACAGGGAGGGGACTGGTTGGAGGAACTCTCTCCCTGTGAGCTAGTAAATTTTTTTTTTTTTTTTGCTCTTTATAACATTTGTCAGAACCCCGAATTCTGTCACCCTAGAGGACCTGCCACCAAGACAAGCAGCAGCCGCCTGTCCCCGTGCCCCCCTCGCACACGCGGGGCTCCGAGGACGCGGCGCCTGCCTGGTGGGAGAAGGAACCAGCACAAGGCTCCTTCTATTCCCCCGGCCCTGCTGGAAGCTCAGCCCCTGCTGTTCCCAGAACAGAAGAGCTCTGAGAAGCAGCCATCCCGCGCACCAGCGACACAATCCCACGTTTGCCTCACAACTTCTGCCTCCTCCTCAGAGCTTCCACACGCTGCCCCCGCCCGAGCGCCGATCGTGGTTTCCACCCTCCTTCTCCAGCTCCTAACCAGACACCTGCAGAGCCACCTTCCAACGCACCTGATTTTCTAAGTCTTCAGAAACTTTGGGGGTCCCTACAAACAGCACCTGTGAGCTCTAGGGGTGCCAGCACCGACCCCGTAGACACGCTCAGAGCAACACCACCCAGCTACAGAAATTCAGCGTTTAAGCAGGTGGCAGACCTGCTCTCTCGACCCTCACTCCTACTTAATTTCCTGCTTATATTACGAAACAGTGAAAAAAAAATCTCAGACTTACAGAAAGCTCCAAAATCATGTCCTGGCCAAGCAGCCTTTTTGGGATGCTCTGACAAAAGGAACACACCTGCCCTTTCTCAGCAATTCTCGCAGAGACGGTGCCTTCATCTGGCTTTTTTTTTTTTTTGGTTGAAATCCCATCCAGATTCTCAGCTGTCAGATGTTACTGAGCTGCTTGGGTAAAATAAGTTTGGTGATCTCAATACAGTTTACAGCAGGCAGATGTCTAGAGCTTAAAATTAGCTGTCGTATTTGCCACTGGACATTCTATACTCTCCCCTCCCTTCTTTCAGGACTCGTAACAGAAGCCAAACACTGCGTGGGCCACAGAGACACACAGGGTGTGCGTCCCTGCACTCTTCAGGACCCTTCCTCCAGGTCAAGTTCTATGCTCTGATGAGGATTCAGAGCAAAGGGAATGTATAAATATTTCCATCTCTCTTTGCCATTAGTGGTGTTTGTGTTCTCTGTGTCTGGTGCACGGAGAAAGGCTGCAGGTGCTAAAGCGGGTCCCCAAAACCGAAACAGGAGATCACGTAACATACACTGTGATCATCTTCTGCAGCCAGAGAGCATCACGCTGACCCTCCTGCAGCGGAGACCAGAGCCAGCCCAGCGCACAACGGCACACCACGCACCGCGGTCCTCGGCACATCAGCACCCCCCACTGAACAAGCCGTGGGTTTACCACCAGCCGCAATACAGGAATGAAAAACCTGCTCAGAGCATGCCCCAAACCAGGGAAATCCTGAATCTGCACAGGCAGATATCTGCGTGGATAGTCTAAAGCCTCACCAACCGACACGTAACAGCAAAGCTCTGCCTCCAGCCTCTCCCAGGAGCGGGCAACAGGAACACAACTGACGCTGAATCCAGAAGGCACACAAAAACCCCATGCTATTGTCTGCACACGCCCCAGAACATCCCCAACACCTGAGGACAAACCCAAAGATGGGAGACCAAAAGCCACAAGAACCCAAATGCACCACAAGAAACCAAAGGAACGAGCCAAGCCTCTCCCTGCAGCCGTAAGGGAGCACGGCCGGGCGAGCCCCCAACTTGAACTGCGCAGTTATGTAACACACCTCGCTGCAGAGCTCAGTGCTGACCCAGTTCACAGCAATGGCACGGCTGTTCCTGGCAGGTCACCTCAGAGCTGTCACCAGAGCCCACGGAAGGGTCTAGAACCAGCTGGAGATTGCTTTGTTCCACAGAGGCTGAAACGAAGGAAGCCAGCCAGCTGTAAGAATTACGTGGTAAAACAACTGCATCTACGACGTGATTCATGCTCAAAACCCACGTCTGGCGTTCAAGGAAAATGCTGGAATCGCAGGTGCTGACCATCTTCTCATACCGCACAAAGCAACACCTCATTCAGAGTATTCAAATCCTGCAAATCCATGGGAGAGCAAACAGCTACACGAGCAGCTTCTGCTGCTCCTGGTATTATCATAAGTAATTACACGTTAGTGAAACAGGCTGGATTTACAGCCTGGGAAACTCCAGTGCTCATTTACAAGCAGGACAGGAATAGTGGAACCTTCTTCAGGCTGTCCCGTAAGGATGCTCACCCACCA